ACTTTACATTCGTTTTTTGCTTTGCCAATGAAAAGATTCATTTTCTAAGCAACGATGCCATCATGAAAAGTGACTTTTACATAGTGGTCGAAGAAAAAAGTATTTAATTTCTTTTTACAAAACTCATCTAAAAATTCCATTATGCATGTACATTTTTTGTATTTGTACTTTTATTTATTTTTACAAAACTCATCTAAAAATTCCATTATGCATGTACATTTTTTGTATTTGTACTTTTATTTGCAAAATTCCTGTTGCAACCGCAACATCAGAACATATGTTACGTGATGATTTTTTAAGTCTCGATGATGCGAAATTAGCAAAGAAGATGTTGCAAGAAAATTAAGCGACTGGATCGAAAGTAAAACGTGAAAGTTAAGTAGCAAATCGACTCGTTAGTACTTACAATACATCGATGCTAATTCAACGAAAAAAACAACTACAATTACCTGATTTTTTAATTTAATGCTAAATGTTATGTTAAAATACGTATTTATAAAATTTTGTAGTATTTTAATGTTAAAACAGATTAATAGTATATTATACACTGCGCGTCAAAATTAACGCATAATAAGTACAACTCTAAAACACCTATCTTTATAAAATTTTGGATAATACTGTGTGTGGGGTTTTTCAAGAAAATATCCTTATTAATAATAAAAAACGCTCGAAAAAAAACTATACAAAAATTTTTTTAAGTAATTAAAAAATATGCTGTGAAATACCGTATTTTTGTAAGTATACCCTGAAAATGTTGTACAAATCAAACGAACAGTAACGAAAATACAGCGCTTTAAAGTCGTCAAAAATGACCACATTTCAGCAAAAGAATCAAAAAGGGGTCATTTTTACCGACTTTGAAGCACTGTTACCGTTCGTTTGATTTGTTCAAAATTTTCAGGGTATACTAACAAAAATACGGTCAACAGCATATTTTTTATTTACTAAAAAAAAATTCCCTAAAAGTTATTTTTCAAACGTTTTTTATTATTAAATAAAAGGGCTTTAAAAATATTTTCTCGAAAAACCCTTGAACACTTAAACTGAGATATAAGTTAAATATTTCATAAAGATTGGTAAAGGCGTTTTAGAGTTAGAATTTGTTAACTTATTATGCGTTAATTTTGACGCGCAGTGTATATTAATTAATTTATGTGTGAAATAAATAGTGTAGGTATACATTGCAAAACCATAAATTATTTACCCTATTATTTTTTCTTATTTATGTTATTTAAAAAATATAAGAATAATTAACGTTGTTTTTAATAATTAACACTAATTTAATATGCTTTATTTATTTAAACATTAAAAAAGCATTTACAATATTTCCAATTAAAAATTACAGGTGCAGAATACCTAAGTAAAATTATAATTGTAAATTAAATTTTCTAACGACACTTTTTTGTACATTTAATTTATATAACAAAATACAATCACAACATGGTAAAACATTATTAAATTGGGACATCATTGTGTGGTCCAGCGTGCAACGTAACAAAGGATATTCAATGAATAACTCTGTTGTATGAATTATAATTTAATTCATTGTGCCCAGCTTATAGGAACTCATGTATCAGCTTTATTAAAACCCAATAATTTTTGGATTAGCGTAATTTCTGAGTTACATAACAGGTAGACCAACGTAAATTAATAGCTAATGGATTAACGAAAATATTTATTGTGTTGGTCTACAATTGACGAATGGGAAAGAGTTTCGAAATTTAGATTAAATGATTGAATCATTTTCTGTTTGGATGATGATGTTTTCTTTGACTTCTTATTCTGTATTTTTATTAAGAATGTGTAGTAAAAAATGAGCATAAGGTCAAAAGATAAATTTAAAAAATATAAATAATGATGACAAAATTAAAATTTAATAGAAGTTATTAGTAATATACAGGATTATTTTCAAAATTTACAGGAATAACAAAGTTGTTATGATTCTAAGAGATTTTTTCGTACATGTTTCAATGACACTTTAAATACACATTGTCAAGTTATGGATTTATGGAATTTTAGTCATGAGCTGAAGTTTGCAACAGATTTTTAGTCACGGAAGTAAGTTTTAAGTTAGTTGATAGTTGTCAATTGTCATACTATTGTTAAAATAAAGTGACTTTATTGTAAAATAATACTAAATGTAAAAATTATTTTATTATCTCAATACAAAAGTATTAAATTGTTTCTCAACTCCAATATTTAAAAAGTTTAATGAAAAACTGCTTGTATATCACATTAAAAATTTGACATTTTGCGCACTATGGTCAAAAAGCAGCGTTTTGCGGAAAAAATTCAATAACTGTTTTATTACAAATAAATTTTATTTTTTTCTTTTTTTAATGTGTTAGGAGTTATTACATATAAATAACTATATTTTAAACGAAAATTGTAAAGGTTTTAATTTTTTAAAAGCGTTTTTATATTATCATAAACCACTGTTTTGCAGAAATAATTCACAAACTTTTTTATTCAAAATAAATATCAATTTTTTTTATTACATATAAGTTATGTGAACCACCACCAGAAGTTTAATATGTTTAGTAATTTCTTATAAAAAGTTTTTATTAAAAACTGCCAATCTGTAAAAGCATTCTCTGTTTGCATTTAATATTGTACGTTACTCTGCCATTTAGTTGTAAAATAAAATTTTGTCTTTTATAACAAAAAAGTGTTTTTATTAAGTAATAAACTTAACTTATATATATTATATATTATATAAAGATTATTACGTATAATTAACTATATTTCAATCAAGATGTTCATAGAGCGTCAATTGCGGAAATAACCCAAAATTTTTATTTTTTTATTTTTTACTTTGTTAAAAAAGACTTATAATATGTATAATTATATATACAATATATATATGTATAATTAAATATATTTTAATTGAAAAACATAACGGTCTTTATTTTTTAAATGCATTTTAAGATGTTCGTGGTGAAACGATTGCGAAAATAATTCAATAACTTTTTATTGTAAACAAATGCATATTTTTTATCTTAACTAAGCACACTTTTAGAAATAAATAAACATAATTTGAATTTTAACATTTATTCCATTAATAATTTTTTAACTTCTTCAAGTGTTTAAATTTTCAGAAAATAGACTTACTTCACTATTTAAAAATAGTTCTGTTAAAAACTGAAAAGAAACGCAGAAAGTAATCATTTTGAAAAATCACAAAACGCAATAGTTAAATTTGCTTTCGATATACATATGTAAAATATAAATTAGCGCATAATATATTTCTTAATAGTTTTTACCTTTAAAGATGCAAAACAAGGGATTAATAATTAATTTATAAAATATTTTTCCTTTAATATTAATATTAATAAAATATTTTTCCTTTAATATTAATTATAGGATAAGTATATATACTTTATATATGAGTTTAAAAAAAATTTAACACATTTTGAAATATTTATAATAATTAATAAATTCAACTAAAACTTATGAGCATATATAGATCTGTGGGTACGAAAATCTTGAGTGAGTAGACAATGCCAGGTACGAGCGCGCGCGATAAATAAAAATTCATAACTTTTCCATATGTGCGTGTATGCAGCTAATTTTTTGTGTACTTATAAAGTAAAGTTTACTGAACAACCTCATGTAGATATCAACGTGGAAATCGGAGGCAATCGTAGTTTAATGCCTACATGAATTTTTTTCTCTTAATTTTACCAATGTGTCTTTATAACGTTTTAACTTTTAATTTTTATTTTTTTATTAAAATAGGAATTTTTATATATGTACATTTTTTTGTTCAATTAAAAGATATAGTATTAAATTTTTAGCCAATTTAACTGTTTTAAAAACATTCTACTTTGAGGTGTCATAAAATCAAAACAAAATTATTTAAAAATAATTCTTTACCAAAATCTATTGCTTTAAGATGTTTTTAACAAATTATCGTCATAAAAATACCCATAATAAAAAGTTTTTAAAAATGTATTTTTTTCGCCCGTAAACCATAGTGCGCCGGTAATATAGATTCCCAAGTTACTAACTAATGGTTACTCTATAGATGTCGCTCTGACTAAATATTTAGTTTAAATCATTTTTAGATAAAAATAAGTATTTATCGTAGAAAAAGTATAGTATGTAACTCGTTTATAAAGTTTTTCAGACTCTTATTTAATTAAATACTCTTGCTCGTGCTTATATAAATTTCTTGACTGAAATAGAGTTTATTAAACTTGAAACATTCCTACTATAATTTTATAAACTATATATTTCAAATCGCTGGCTTTTTCTCTTTAATTTAACCAACTCCAATAAAAAATACCCATAAAAGAGCAGCCTGATTGTTAAGCTGGAAAAAAGTAAAATTTAAGAAAATACTTTACAAATAATAATAATACGATTAGAAGTCTTTGGAGTGTTCAGCAATTGCTGCTAAAGCTATTAAGCATTCGGTGTTATCATTCGCCACGTATTCAGCCATGTTAGACGTCGCGACGCCCCTAGACACAACAGCGTCGGCGACGCATGTGAGACTGGCGCGCCAATGCAGTGGTCCGTTCGTTGCCACGCCCACCCAAGCTAAACACCGTTTCCCCCTAGCTGTTTTGTGGAACGCACGCTCTCCCAAACAAACGATAATTGTTCTTCTAGCTAGGCGGTTAGTAGCGCACTTGAACTACCGTAGATCAAACGCGGCGGCTCGGCGAGACCGAACTTCACCTGTCGATAGACCGTCCACCTAACTATCCGGTTTTTATTATTAGACGACAGTCGTGAAAGATCGTGAGTAGCTATTTAAGGACAGATGGGTTAATTGATCATTGTATTTTCGAACATTCGATCTATTTGTTTGTTGCTCGGTTGGTGATGTAGTTTTTTATCTTATGTGATTCATTACCAGGACGTTACAGAACTCGATCGTTTTGGTATGTCAACCATGTATCTATCACCATTTAGGCCATAAACAAACCTTGCCCAATCAATCAATCAATCAATCAATCAAAGATCACTAGACAGGTCTCTTATTGTTTCAGACCCCGTTTGGCTCGAGCAGTTTCGCAGATCTGCTGAATGCACCGTTTTCCGAGGACCCCAGTGGAATATTACCGCCAGAAGATCTCGACCCCTTTCCCGACGTAACCCTTCACTCTCAGCCCCCTTCACCAGCACCGCTGCCTAGCTTTCAGGAAACCTACTCTATAAGATATCAACAAGCGACGGCTAGCACGTCCACGTCCTTCAAGATGGACGAAGAGTGTTACAACGTGTCCTACCACCACCCGCATCACGTGGGCACTCCGCATCACTACGACTACCAGCAGCTTCAGTATCCCCCGGCGAGTCCGTACTATCCGCCTCCGCAGACCTGCAGCCCCAGCTTCGAGGCGCTCATCTCGCAGGATTCTTACTCTCTACCCTCCTATCAAAGCACCACTTCGGAGCTCCACGTTAGCACGGCTTTAAGCCCCAGACAAAGACGCGCTTCTCTTCCCTTGCAAAGATCCGAATCGACGAGCAGCAGCGAAAGCCCTAAGCTTAGATTAGCGGGTCCTCCGCCGTCAGCTTGTTCCTCGGCGGCAAGTTCTCCGGGGGGTTCTGTAGATCAGCCTGCTTCTTCTAAAGGGCCAACCCCGCCATCCCCGTCGCAGCTGTGCGCTGTATGCGGCGATACCGCAGCTTGTCAGCATTACGGGGTTAGAACCTGCGAAGGTTGCAAGGGGTTTTTCAAGAGAACAGTGCAGAAAGGATCGAAATACGTCTGCCTGGCCGATAAGGCGTGTCCTGTAGACAAGCGACGAAGAAACCGCTGTCAATTCTGCAGATTCCAGAAGTGTCTCGCTGTAGGTATGGTCAAGGAAGTCGTGAGAACGGACTCTTTGAAAGGCAGAAGAGGTCGGCTACCGTCCAAGCCAAAATCACCGCAGGAGTCCCCACCAAGCCCCCCTGTATCCCTTATCACCGCTTTAGTAAGAGCCCATTGCGACACAACACCAGATCGCGATAACCTCGACTACTCTCAGTACATGGAACCCAGCCCCATCGAGCCTGTTATGTCAGAGGCGGAAAAAATCCAACAATTCTACACCCTCTTGACCGCATCGGTGGACGTCATCAAGAACTTCGCCGACAAAATTCCAGGCTTCCAGGAGATCTGTCCCGAAGACAGGGAGCTCATGTTTCAGTCCGCTTCTTTGGAACTATTCGTGCTGCGGTTGGCCTACCGAACGCATCCCAACGACACCAAGCTGACGTTTTGTCATGGCGTCGTCCTGGATCTGCAGCAGTGTCAAAGGTCCTTCGGGGATTGGCTGCATGGAATTATGGAGTTCTGTTCTGGACTACACGCCATGGAGATCGACATATCCGCATTTGCTTGCCTCTGCGCACTCACGCTGATTACAGGTAAGCATCAAATATTTTTTCTTCCTACACTCAAAAATTGCTTCTTAGGCAGAGTTGCAAAAATGTAAAAAATAATGCAATCGTCATTTTTTTATGGTAATGTAGTTTGAATACATTTAATCATTAAAAAAAATTGTTATGAGAAATATTTTCATTACTCATTAAAAATTTAATGAGTAATGTCGAACACACATTACGGCCATTTCAAGCGCGCGAAACGCACGAATTACAAAACTGTTTTTATAAAAAAAAATTGTAGATGGTTTATTATATGGGTTATTTTCAAATTTCTTGTACATTTGCCGTCCCTCAACTTTAATATTTTATAAAAAATTGAGTTTAACGCCATTTGGAACTTAACTAAGCGAAATCAATTGGTTTAAGTGTTTTTAGCAAAATTGTAAAATTTTAAATTTAAACCTATAAAATAATTAAACTTTCCCTTACAGTACATAAAAGTTACTTTTATTTACTACTGTAGCTGTCCCACTTGCAATAATATTCACTACTTAATGCTATTTAAACATCTTAGAGTAAAATATCATCCTCTTTTTTTATATAGTTGAGAATTTATTCCAAATATTACATAAAAAGCCCATTTGTGGTAATATTTAAAAATACATGTGGTTAAAATAACCCCTAAAGTTTGTCCCTTAATTTTGTTCCCCTAGGTCGCGTCTCCTGGGTCACAGCTTTTATAAATGACCTTTTGAATTGAGCGCACATTTTTTGGTGCTGCCCCCTTGCGGCAATGTATTTGGTAACAGATTTTAGTAGGAAATTGTGTTTTGAACTATCTGGAAGCCACAACACGTTTTTTGTATTTTTTATACCAGCGTGGCAAAACTGTGCATTCTCCTGTGTCACAGTAATAAAAAGTAGTAAAGTACCAGTTGGACTTTGTTTGATTCTCAAAAGTAAGTATCCTAGTAATGGGCAAAAATACAAATCCTTTAAAAAAACATACATTTTTTCCCCTGGGTCACACGTCTCCTGGATCACATATTGTGTTACCCAGGGGAAAGTTATGTAACCCAGGGCACAATTCCAAAGAAATAAATTATAATATATTTTTGAAATAATAATAAACTTATAGGAAAGTTTTAAAAACATTTTTTTCGACCTTTCACCTTTTCTGTAGCCAATTTAAAATAATGTCCTCCACCTTTTTAATAGTAATTACTATTGAACTACCAGCTTCTTTTAGGCAAATTAATTTTCCTAGTCAAATTTTTGGTAGTTCAACGAAACAATTTTTATATTGACTTTTTATTATTATTTTATTAATATTACTACCTAATAACTAAAACTTTTTATTAATTTATTGCTCGTTAAATTGGACAAGCTGGGCCCAGATAAAAAATCGAGAAAAAATGTTTTTAATACGCATTAGAAGAAAATTTCTTAAACTCACTTTTTTAATGGACATTTTTAAATACAGAAAATATATTAAAAATACTTATGTATGTAAGAAAATTAAGAAATAGAACATAGTTTTTGCTTTTACTTAGTTTTGTACTTAAAATTTTTTTATAAATAATAAATGTATGTTCTTTTTTTAAACAAATCCCAGTGTAAATAAAACCTAAAAAGGATTATTAACAAGCAACGAAGATTTATCTTGTCCCGTCTACACCTGTCAATTATTAAAATTATCTCTACTTTTATAAAATATTTCTTGCGTTTTTTTTATTTAATAGCCCAATAAAAGAAGAATTTATATTTGACAATTTTGATGCTGAAATAACAATATATTATAATAAATTATCTACAATTTTTTTTATAAAAACATTATTTGTGATTGAAATGGCCGATTACTCATTAAAAAATTAAAAATGAGTAGTGAGAGATACATTAAAAAAATGTAAATCAGTAAAAAATGATCAGGGGTGGGGGTTGATGGGCTCCTTAAACTTTTTTGTTATCATACAAATGAATTACAATGAAAGAAGCTGCAAAAAAATGCATACATATGAAATTATGGAAGTAAAAATGGACACCGATTGATTATAGCACATTGATTATAATAAGTATAATAGTATAATTATACTTAAAATTGTCCAAAAAAAAATTTACGCTTTGTTTGAAGCATAATACTTTTCTTGGGTTAGACAATTTTTTTAACTTCATAAGTAGAAAAAATATTTTTTCTACTCCTATTACGGAATTTGACCGTTCTAATATTACTTTTACATATATTCCGTAAAGTGTTAACAGAATGAAATATTCTATCATCGGATGACAGAATAAACATTCGTGGCGACATCTCTGTTTTTAATATTTAACAAATTTTAGACCGATCCAACCTTACTTTCTTCCAATTAAATTATTTTTCTATGGTATTTTTTGGAAACGAAGAAAAAGTATAGTCTGAAACACGTTTGGAATTGCATATTCCGCTCTCGTGAAACCGTCAAACTCGGCTCGTGTGACAAACTCTGCTATATTCCAAACTTGTTACAGAATATACTATTCTCTACGACTACTTAAGAATAGTAACATTCTAGTGTAATTTTTGACCATAGAAAGGATGTTTTTCTGCAATACTGTGCGAGAATATTCCTACTCTTGTTTAAGAATGGTCACAAGTAACGACATCTCCTGGCTGTTTACTAAACGTAAACAATTTAAAAATATTTAAATATTACTGTATTATTTATTAATTAAAAAATAATAGCAGTTGTATAATTAAGGTTTAGGCACAAAAAATTAGTTATATTTATTGTTTTTCAAATATACAAATCAAAATTATAATAAATTTGATATTAAAATGATAAACCAGTTACCTACTATACCGGCTTTGAAGTTTTGACAGATTCAAAAAGTTTAAAAAAAGACCTTTAAAATGTAGAAAAAGAATAGATGTTGACATAGATTACTTGTAAAATTAGTTTTGTATTTGTTACAATGTTATTTTTTTTATTAGTTAATGTAAATAACTATTTTTAATTATAATAAAGATTTAGGCATACCATTTGTTTAAATTTATTATAATTTACATTATAAAATTGTGACACAAAATGGTTTGACAATACAAAAAACTTAAATGTCAAAAACTGCTTGGTTTCTTTTCTCTGTTTAAAATTATATAAGCGTTACTATTCTTACGTAGTTGTAGAGAAAATAATGTCTGAAACACGTTTGGAATAGCATATTCCACTCTCGTAAAACCGTCACACTCGCCTTCGGCTCGTGTGTCAAATTTTTCCTCGAGCGGAATATGCTGTATTCCAAACTTGTTACAGAATGTACTATTCTTTAATCTCTATGATTCCGGTCTTCGTAAACATTTTCTTGAAACATGTTTTTGGTTTTTATAGAAATAAATAATTTTCTCTGATAAGATTAGTAATTTTTATAAAACTTAATCTTTTCCTTTAATAAAGGTGGCTATTTATATAAAAAATAAAACAACTTTTTCTAATGAAATTGATTACATTTAAATAATACATTAATTCCGCTCAGAATGTCCATGCTTTTTGAAAAAGATCAATTACACTTCTAATTGAAAAAAATTCTCATGCAATAAAAATATCTTCCTTGCCCACTAAAAATGAGTAATTAGATACTCATTAATTTCTTACATTACTCATACTCATAAAAATTATAAATTGAAAATATCAAATTATATTAATGTAAAAAATAATACATTTATTAGAAAAAATGTAATATAAGGTAATTTAATTTTCATTTAAAAAGAAGTATTGCATAATGAAAATTAAACTCATTACTCATTATTTTTAATGATCCGATGTGTCTAATTGATTACTCTAACCGTTGAGAAGATATTCGTATCCGAATCCCAATGCTACTTATACGAATATCTTCTGAACGGTTAAAGTAATCAATTAAACACATTAGATCTTTTTTGTAGAGCCCCAAATTTCCTAGAAAAATTTGTCATACCTATTTAAGAATAATTATTTTCTAATGAGTTACAAAATTATCAAAAAAAAATCTTTATTGAATTCTTCAAACTTTGATCTTGAATATCTTTTAAATAGTAATCGCTTAAACATATAGCCCTTTTTTGTAAATTGTAAAAAAAATAATCAAATGAATATGAAGGTGCCTAAAAACCTCTACTTTTCGATTTCCAAAACGGGTAACTTGATAGGCGATTAAGAGAAATTTATTTAAGTCGCAAAAACAATGCCGCAGCCTTAAAAGTATAATTTTTGCCATTTATTTTAACTTGTAAGTAACATGAGCCATCCTTTCTAATATCGTTAAAAAAATAATAACATTGCCTAATGCGCTGTATTCCGAAGAACTAATAACTAAACAGCGAAGGACAATCGGTTAAGATAAATTAAGTCAATAAGTAGACTAAGGTGAAACTTAATAAGTAAAGTAATCTTAGAACAGCTTTTATTATTAATTAACATTTCCTGTCTTTCATTATAAAATGTATTTTCTGGTCAAAAAAGCGATATGTGACCCAAAAACTAGCGATTTATTTACATCGATAATTTTTCACGTTTGCGAAACAATGTCATAAATTATAAATAAGTGACTATCGACCTCCTTGAAAGAAGTATTTCAGACAAAGCAGTTATACAATGACATATAATATAAAACAAATATTCACTAATAGATGTAAAAACTTTTAGTGAAGTATCTGTCTCTCAAGCGTTCTCCAAATATTTCGAAGTATTTAATGAAATCACAGAAAATTAAAGTTTTAATTCTCATAGGATGTGGCAGTAAAACTAAAACACAACAAGAAATTTGCAATTTATTTAATGCAAAGTATCCAGCTCGACCTATTACTCGTGTTAGGGTTAGTAAAATTGAACGGAAATTCAGAGAGACTGGACATGTCAAAGATATTTCAAAACCTGGCCCTCCGAGTATTAGGGAAGACACTAAAATTAATATTTTGTTGAGTGTGGAAGAAGATCCTCACAGTGCTTCTAGCCTAGTCGCAGCTGAAAGTCAAGTCAGCCAACGCTCAGCATTACGTCTCATGAAGAAAGAAAAGTACCATCCATACAAAG